TATATATCGATTTAGAATATATATCGACTATTTCATTTGGATGCTTTTATTTTATTGAATTTTGTCGTCTCTCCGTCGTAACACGCACACGCGGCCCACGGTAGCCGTGTACGCCTACGCACCATACCCAAGTCAAAGAGAGATAAAATCTATAAATATGTGGGAGGCGCACGCGACCCATTCCAGTGTTTGTTCAACCAGGAATAACCTCCGTTTCTTCATCGTACAGCGAAGCCCAAGAAGAGGCTGGTTTTGTGGCTTGACGCAAGACTAATCCGGGACCAAAAGTACATCTATTATATATATATTTATATATGTACATATATAGAAAGAGAGAGAGAGAGAGAGAGAGAGAGAGGTCAATTTCAATGAAATAATACTCCTTGCATATGCACTTTTCTGTTATTCAAATATTTATGATAAAACTATATAAGTAACTATATAACTAACTTGCTTCAGTTGGAATTTGGATAATTTGTCAGCACGTCGTATCCATCGTTCTTACCACACTGAAACTTGGTTATTTCGACGTTCATCAAGCACGCAAGTTAGTTAGCGGTAAACACGGCTCATCAATCTTCCAAGAACATCAGCATGCTTGATGGTTTCTCTTTCTCTCTTGTCACCGATCTAAAATACTTCCAACACGTGTATCCATTAAAGCGATGTCGGTTTAAGCCTCATTCAGAAGGAACATAATCGTCGTGCCACCAAATTTATCTATTGATCGATTTACAATATAAAACAGAGGACAAATCTCTTTAATTGAAAACTGCTAATCGATCACTAATGATACCTTAAAGTATTTTAGTAGGTTTAACGTATTAAGGAGTATATGTATAGTTGAAATCGTATATGTAGGCTGGAAAATAGGAGTGTTTGCTTGGTTGCTTGCTTTGCGCGCGCAAACCCACGTAGGCATCGTAGTGATACCGGCCAACGAGCTCCGCCATTCTCCACACCTGGCAACAGCCAATGGTAGGATAAAGGAGCTGGAACGAGAGAGCTTTTGCTCCTCGAACGCCACACCCTTTATTGCGACCACATATCGACCGAGTCGCATCGGTCCTACAACTAACTACAAGGTATATAAGTAACTAATTGTAAGTATGAGTGTCCCTTGCTTTCTTCCTTCTTCTTATCATTTTATTTATTCGTAATTGTATTATACTAAACAGTAGTGAGCAGCACAATCAATTAACAAATACCATCAAGATCTGAGCACAGTTGTAACACGTTACGGGATTTGCCCTCGAATATTTTTCCTAGTTCTTAGGTAACATGGGTGTATTCAAACATCAACGATATGGGACTTTAATAAAGAAGTAATGGGCGAGTAATGGACGAGTAATGGACGAGAAGTCGTTTCTCAAGACGAAAGTTAACAAAGTTTACGTTACTCAGCCTAACCTAGGTTTTAAGCAGTTAGGAAAGTCTTGATATTTGGATCCAGTCTAAATGTTATTTCACGCGACATAAGGATCGCTTTCTTTGAGCAACACTCTCTCCTTGCTACTACTGATACTCTGCGTATTCTGTACCTGACCATCGGATAGACACGAACGAGGAGAGAGAGAGAGAGAGAGAGAGAGAAAGGGAGTTACGTCAAATATGTATGCGGATAAACACGGGGACGGTTGACAGAAATAATATCCGCGGGTTGAAGGTGCGTGCACCTGTCTGTTGAACGTGAATCTCCAAAAGATTCTGCCTTATCCTGTCGAGGAGACGTGAACGAACAAAAAAATCCTCACATATTTGATTAAAGCATACCTTCTTTTATTTATTTTCTTCTTTTTTTTCTGTTTCTTTTTAAATGTATATTTCTATGGCGATACGATTAGAGTAATTTTACTTTATTATATTGGAATCGATGAAAATCTTTTGTATACTTATTACGACAAGATACCGAGGATAATTCCCCCCGTGTACATTGTGAATCTTTCATGAAATTTTTCGTCGAGCAGGTGAATTCGTTTTGTTGCGTGCGTCTGGATTTTTTCCCCATAACATTTGTACGGCAAGAAAAAAATATCTTTTGTCATCATCAATGAAACGATCGAGCTCGAGCAATACCGAGAATTTGGATTTCGTTCTTTTCATCGAATCAATAAGATTCAATAAGATTCACTCACATTCGTCGTAGAGATTTAGGAAAAAGACCACCGGAACAGTTGCAAGTAAATCCTGTACTCTTGCTACTAATACGAAATATAATTGAAAAGTATTTTCAAGTTTGCAAAGAGATATTTTTCATAGGAATTTGTAAAAGTCAAACTGATGAGTGAGTGTCAAAGATATTCGTAAAGATATTCGTAAAGATATTCGCATACGTGGATGTTCGCGAAGCATACCGAAGTCGTAAAGTCTTTCCTCTCGACGAGGAGGGATGAAAAAGAATTCGGTACCTAATTCGAGATGTTTATCCAAGCACCGTAGCCGGCTCTCTTAATTCATACGCCCTGTTGTTGCAGCTCAGTTAGAAGGAAATTTATTAAAATCGTTATAGCACTGTGTGTTGCCTTCGGTGCGGTGTACATACCATGATGAGATACGCGTTATTATTATTACCTACCAAATTTTATCCGAATCTAATAAAATATACTTCCATAGCCATTTGATACGTTAACGTTCATTATTTTTTTAATCATTTACAAACATCCTTTGAACGAAGGGCTTGAGTAAAGGTGACAGAATGAATATTTACATCTTTATCTAGATTTGATGTAAGGATTTGCGAGGAAAACCCTTCCGAAAGGCGCCACCAATATCTCGTTACTCAGCACGTCTAAGAATAACGATCGGTTTTGGACGACGTTAATGGATGATTTGTTCGACTTTAAAGAGGAAACAGGGTGAGAGAAGAACAAGAAGACCAAGAAGACCAAGAAGAGCAAGAAGAAGAAGAAGAAGAAGAAGCACACGGCTTGCGATACTTTAGAGAATTTAGGTGGAAATATCCAAAGGAGAGTTGGTATATAGGAAAAGGGCAACAGGAGAGATGAAGAAGAAGAAGAAGAAGAAGAAGAAGAAGAAGAAGAAGAGGAAGAGGAGGAAGAAGAGGAAGAAGAGGAACGTGCGTTTACTATGCCGACAATGTTTGTTCAGCCGCAACTTCTCTAAATCTTTTGTGCCCTATGCGAACGGAGGGTTGTACGATCGCACATCGTCTCATGCACAACTTTCCTACATACATACTACTATTACTACTACTATTACAACTCGTTTACAACAACGTTTACTCGCAATCGGGTACCTATCGAAGTTCTACTTATACAAAGTGTTGTTCAAAAACCAAATTCATATATATTTTTTAGAATTTTCCCGAGAGATGAAAGTTAATGAAACGAAAAGGGCGATTGATGATTCACTCGGCCGTTGTCGTGAATGACGATGACGATGACGATGAAAAGGAAATTTCAATGCTCGTCACTTCATCTTTGGTAGGATGATCATTTAGCTTCCGTTTGGTTTGGTCGGAACACAGATCGGCTGTCTAAAAGACACGAAGCAACGGCCAAGACAAACCTTAAATGCTTGCTAACCAAACAGTCGGAATTAGCCGCGTTACCCGCCCACGAGGAAACCACGAAGGCGCTTTCACCGTTTATACCTCTCTATGGCTATTATCTTGCTCCTTCCAGAGAACAGCCCTCCCTATCCCATCATCGTGTCACGAAAGATGATTGCGTCATCGTTGCAATGCTAATCTGACTAATAACTTATCAAATTCTTTTACATTTCATTTTGTAATTTATATTCGAGATTACGAGGAATCTATTTTAAGTATATTATTATAGATAATTAAGAAAATATCAATATTTTGTATAACAAGTCGGACGGTTTCCTCCTCTTAAAAGATGATGAAAAAGAGAGAGAGAGAGAGTTGTATTCCGAGCGGAATCCACCACTACCGGCTGGATTTATTTCTTTAAGGCAGACAATGAGGAAGGAAATGCGGTTGATACGTTTTCAAGATAAATAAACCGCCCTACGTGGTATTGTACAACGAAAAGAGGACAACGTTAGACGTTTCTATGACGCGTTTGTTTGCATCCTGAGAGCAAATCGGACACGTTATAACAAGTCGCTAATCTCCAATGAAAATATTTCTTACGTTCTCTTTGTATCGCGTTTTGTGTCTAATACGAAATTAAGTTGCTACCGTGAACAAAGTCTTTATCGTTCAACATTCCGTTTTTCTATTCTTTACGCAACTCACCGAGAATCAGACTGCATTCCTATGCTCCACTTAATTTTTATCCTGCAATTTCATTTGTTGTTCGATATGCACGAGAGATCCTTTTGTTTTGCCCGTTGTAAAAAGTTAGAAACATTGATAGTTGTAACCATGACTACGTAAAACACGTGATACTACTTATGCAGCACGGTCGAATAATAAAAGAAAATAAATCGAGGGAAGAAAATCGGTTTCCTGCGTAAGTTTGAATTTCCAGGCTGGGTCATGGACGTTCGGCCGTTGAGGGTTTAGCAATACGCAACCCTATCTGTCGAAGCCAACCGCGAAATATCACTGCACATCCAGATAATCCTCCGGGCCCATTGATATGCTGATGGTGAGACTTGTCGCGTGAAATTGCCAACGGGTATGCATTGTTCGCTTGAATTCCGCTTTGGTCCTTTTCAGAGTGAGCGAGAGAGAGAGAGAGAGAGAGAGAGAGAGAAATACAGGGAATGATGCCACCCCCATAAACCTCCTAGCCACGGTTCAATCCTATCGGCAACGAGCAGGTTTCTCGTTTTAGCCTCAAACTTTCTCTCTCTCTCTCTCTCTCTCTCTCCCTCTCTCTATCTCTATTTCAGTTTAGTGAAAGAATAAAGAAAAGGATTTTTGTTGAAACGTGATATTCGATATCGATCCTCTCGCATCTTCTTCGTTGAAACGAAGAAAAGTTGAAGAAAAATGTTGAAGTAACGTTTTAATGTTAACCAGATTATGCCTATTTTTCTCCGACGGCAAGAACGTGAGAAACAGCAGGAAGGCTGGCAGGCAGGCAGGCGCGTTGCATCGATCTGTTTGTTATCTTTATGCTCGCGATCCTATCGCAAGCGTGCAGGTCATATTCTTGTAAGTAAACGTATGCAAGGAGCAAGCAGCGTTTCGGGTAAACCGATGGATGACTGCAACAGAGATACGACCCAGAATTAATGTTGTACAGTAGGTAGATTAGATAAATACCTACCTACGTACATTCCCTACTATGTAAACATTCATCAAGCTTTATATCAAATTCGTTGCACCTCTCTTCGAATGAATTTATGACATTTCTTTGATTGGCTACTAATCGGAAAATAATACAGTTCCGCTTGTCATTCGAATAAGAAACGCTTGTCCATTTAGAAATTATTTGTTCCTTTTTTTTTTTGTTTTTTGTCAAATTTTATTTCTTCGAGAGGAAACGACATCTTGACTTTGATATCACCAAAACGTTACACCTATTTTTTTGTGGTTGCGTTACGCGCCCCTACACGTCTTTCTTTTCGAGTATTGGTTTACACGAGTAGTTTGGAGGTCTCGGGAATGAAATTTCATCGTTATGTAAACATCATTTTAAGACTCGTGAGGAGGAATAGACAAGAAACATACGGAGATGCGAGGCCGCCGGACGGCTAGTGGTGTAGTGCTAGTATGAGTCTTCCTTATTCGGTTAATCCGATCGAAGGATTTAACAGATATTTCTTCTTACTTCGCGTGTATCATTTATTCATAAGGCATTTATTTATTTAGTTACAGTAACTAAAACATTCATCATTCATCACAGGTTGGTTATCCAATAATTATCTTACGTCAGAATTTGTGCTTTGCTTAAGGTCTTATAGAGCTTGGTAAAGCATGTGACGTAATTGCTGATACATTTTCGGGAAAGAATATCGTTGGGAACCACCATCCTGGTTTATTGTTTTTGGACGAAAAAAGAGCCTTCGCTAAGATAAAATGGCTCTATTATACGTAAGATAGGTCAAGGAGGAGAAAAAGTTTATTTTGCCTTCTTTCGAAATACCGTAAACATTCGGAGACGGGGGGAAGAAGTTTTTTAGGTAGGTAGGTAGGTAGGTAGGATAAGATTTTCACCATTATACGAAATGATATTTTCTTCTGTATGTAGATACTTGAAGAACTGCTATACTTGCTCGCGGCTACAGAAAATATGCAAATTCGTCTTGTATACGTCTTCGTCGAATCGATTCTAATCCCGATTATGGGAGAACCTTACTTACTTACGTCAGGGTAAAGCTTATTAAACTTAACCTTGCTTAAGACAATCCGGTTACATTCGATATTTTCTAATCATTTGGGAAACCGAAGGAAAAGAAAACAAGAAAAAAAGGAAAAAAGAAAAAAAGAAAAAAAGAAAAAAAGAAAAAAAGAGGAAAGGATTGGAAAGTTTGTGGGCGTTTAAAAAGACAATTAAATTTTCATTGTGATGTTTTCCATAGGATTTTAGTGATTGACAGCTTCTATTAGAAAAAAAACTGTCAAAGAAGAAAGGTAAAAAAGGTTCTTGTTAAAACTGGTTTTTTTTTTCTATACATGTCACGAAATACAATACTTATTATTCAGATTTCTATTAAAAACATTTTTTACCCCATTTGTTGCTTTCCTAATCCCTAGAATTTAATATTCATCACGTATTTGAAATATGGTACTTCCACCACAATGGAACCAAAGATTTATGAAATGTATATATATATACTAACAAGATTTTATATTGAAATGAAAACATCAAATAATTCCTTAAACAATTTTCATTGTTCAAATAAAAGTGTAACTCTAGCTACACAACTTTTTTTCTATTCTCATTCATTAGATTAGATGAAGAACCATCTAATTAAACGACGACGCGATATGTCAATGGATTTGGATTATTTGGAAAAATCCAATATAGTAACATAATATATAAGAAGACATGGATTGGTAGAAATGGAAAAGTGGAACGATGGGACGGATCGAACTCGTTCCAGGGACCCGGATAGTGGTTCGTAGGATTCGCGAAAGAACAGAAGGAGACGAGGTGTCCCATCGAGTGTTTTCGCAAGGCAGGAGTCGAACCCTTAGAAAAACAGACGGCAAATTGAATCTCTCGTCTCGTTCGGTACCTCTTCTTCCAATAACTTTGCTACTCTCCTACTCTGCTTTCCCGAGGGAGCTTTCTCGAGTTCCTTCGTCTACGGATTACCCACCTATCTATACTACTCGCGGCAAGAAAACTTTTCTTCCGGTTCTCCTTCCTTCCTTCCATCCTTCCTTCCATCCATCCATCACCCTTTAACTTTTTACACTCTTTCACCAAGCAAAATACCACAATGCCTGACATTATTTATTGCCGCGGTATTTTTGATCAAGTATTAAGTATCTCCGAATTATGTGAAATAATGTGAAATATAAATGAGAAAATATGTAGACATACCTACTATTTCCGAGGAAACCCAAAATCAACAAAAAGAACCCTTTTTTATCGTTTCAGATAATCTCTTCTACCTGTTTCTCAAATTTTCTTTAAACAAATAGTAGAAAAAAAATCATGTTCTTTTTAACTATAACCGTATTATTCATTGGGGGAAAAGACAGTGTGCCAATTTGACGAGTCGAACGATAAGAAACGATAACGTCTCAGCTCAGACACGAATGGAAGCACAGAGCTGTCACATAAATCAAACGTTTTACAGCGTTTCCGAACGGTTTGCCAAACAAAAGTCGGTTTATTGTTACTCTTGAAATATTTATTGAAAAACAAGATAACAGATTAGTAGGATAATACCTAAGTAAATACCTATTTTCCTTTGAATCGAAGGATCGAAGAAGATCCTATTTTGGATCGATACTATTTTCTCCATAGGTAGGTAGAAACTAACTCACTGTGCACTTATAGATATAATCGTATGTTATGTCGCGAAAAGGCGTTGCACACGAGACACTCTGTGATAGAGAGAGGATAATAAGAAAATGAAAGATGATAAATAATACTATATACGCGTATGCAATCCGTCGCTGGACTTTTCTTCTTCTTCACAAGACTTGACAAAGTAAGTGTCATAAGACAGGCGTATGAGGGCCTTACAGTGGCAACGATCAATTGTAAAAATTCACCTTTACTAGTACTACCCTGACGTTGTTCTCTCTCATTTTCTTGACTTTATTTCTTTCCATCTCTTTCACCTTTATCGTTGGAAAAGGAAGACGACGGACGATAGGTTACAGAATACGAAGGTATTCTGTCTTTGTCTTTTTCTTGTTAATAATCTCTTTTGTTACAGATAGCAAAGGAAAAGATAGGAACGTGCGTGCGTGCGACGAAATGGGCATGGCCAAGGTAATTCGGTGATATCGGGTGGTGGTAAGGTGGCAATAGGGTGGCGACAGGGTGGTGGTAGGGTTTCCATTCTAAAATCATCCGATTGGTTAAGGTTGTCGAGTCAGGTTCAGCCCCTAATAGAGCGAACGAATGAAAACTCTGGTTCCCCTACCATGGGTGCTCGGTTCGACGCATTACCAAGGCATACAACTGTGAACGAGTTCGTAGATGGATTTTTGTACAAGACGAAGAGGGGTTCGGATCGTGTTGTTCTCGCGCACACGTCCTCGCGTTCATCCTAGAACGCTCTTGGTTTCTTCGACTCGCGAACGAGGCCCCAGTGTGTTTTTACTCGGGGTTGGGTAAACTCCGACCTGTTGTGTATCATAATACAATCGTTGCAATTGTTGCAATCGTTGCAATCGTTGCAATCGTTGCATCGACATCCAGAACGACAGCCAGGACTACCACACCTTTCTCGCCTCGTCCACTCATTACTTTGTTACTCTTCTTCTTCTTCTTCTTCCACCTTACCCTCCTCCACCCTTCTTCTTCCTCTTCCTTCCTTCCTTCCTTCCTTCCTTTCGTTCTTTTTTACCTGTCATCTGAAATTATGACCGCATCATCCTCTACAATATACAAAGACTTTGAGTTATTTTTTCCCATAAGTTTTCGGGACTAAAGGATTAGAAAAAGTAAAGGGTTTGAGGTATTTAGAAAAAAAAAACAACAAATTTATTCTATTCTTAGAGAAAGAATTTCTTGTATTTAGTGGAATAATTTCAAGAGAAAGTGAAATAGGAAGAGAAAAAAATGTTGGAATATATTGCATAAGCGTATTTTGCAAATCGTTCACATGTGCGCGTAAGTGTTTTACCGTCCAAGAGAAAATAAGGTGTCTCTGTTGAAAGTTGATTAATCAAGATGCATACGTTGTTCGGGGAACAAAATGCTTATTATCGTCATCCGAGTGGAGTGCCCGTTGGTATGGGCACTGCATCTTATCCAGGTGTGGGCGTGGGTGTGGGCGCTGCACCAGGTTATTACGAACAATATCGATACAGTGGATATGCGACGGCCGCTGGTTATCCCGTGTCCGGTATAACGCAGCAACACATTCACCATCCGGGTAAAGACATGGTAAAACCTCCATATTCGTATATCGCACTAATAGCAATGGCAATTCAAAATGCTCCGGACAGGAAGATCACTCTGAACGGTATTTATCAGTTCATAATGGAACGTTTTCCGTATTATCGTGAGAACAAACAGGGCTGGCAAAATTCGATCAGACATAATCTCAGCTTAAACGAGTGTTTCGTTAAAGTGCCGCGCGACGATAAGAAACCAGGAAAAGGAAGTTATTGGTCACTCGATCCAGATAGTTACAATATGTTCGACAATGGTTCTTACTTGCGTCGACGAAGGAGATTTAAAAAAAAAGATGCTCTGAAAGAGAAGGAAGAAGCGTTAAAGAGGCAGGGTCTTTTGCCAGAGAAACGAGGATTGCAATCGCAACAGGAGGACGTAAAGTCGAGCAACATTGGTGGTGGTGTTGGTGTTGGTGTTGGTGCTGGTGGTAGTATCGTTAACCTCGCACCGTCGATAGAAACTACGACGACAACGACGGCGATTAAAAAAGTTGGCAATGGGGGTGGTAGCGGAGGTAGTGCAGCAGCAGGAGCAGGAGCAGGAGGAGGAGGAGGAGGTTCTAGTGGTAGTGGTAGTGGTGGTGGTGGTGGTGCTGGTGGTGGTGGAGGTGCTGGCGGTGGTGGTAATGCTTCTGGTGTGGCTAGTGTTATCGGTGGTGTTGCGGGTGTCATGGAGGGTGGTACTGTTACGACAACGGCTAGTACGACTACGACCGGCTTGTGCAAACCAAAAAGAGAACCGGTGAACGATCACTGCATGGCCGTGCAAAGCAAGTATGGTTTGCTCCATAGTCCTATACAACAAGATACCAAGACTACGGTTACAGGCGTGGTCGTAGCAAGTGTACCATCTCATACAGCAGTAAGTAGCGGTGGTCAAAGCGTCATTCAAACGGCACTGGGAAATCAGGTACATCAGGGTCATCATCAAGTACATCAAGAAACGGGGATTCCTGACGTTTCGATGGTTGGCTTAGATTCTGCCGCGTTTAGCGTCGACGCTCTCATGACAAGTCGAGAAAATGCTCTGATGAACAATCGAGTCGATCAAAGCACCGGTAGTGGTGGTGCTGGTGGTGCTGGTGGTCAACATCCTCACGTTCACGCTCATGCTCATGTTCACGCTCACGCTCACGCTTTGACACATTCGCACTCGCATCCTCACTCGCATTCACACGGGCACGGGCACGGGCACGGGCACGGACACGGACACGGACACGGACACTCGTCAGCGTGCACCACGACGACCAGTACGACCGCCGCGGTTGCCGCCATGATGGCGACCACCGGATACGCCCCTCACGGTAGCGCCGTCACCAGAGGAAATCCTTCGCCACCCGGGACCGGCATGTACCCCGTGCCTTATTGCACTCCTACGCCCAGCTACATCATGGATCACGCCGATTACAATTCGAGAAATCACGGAAATGCTGCGGCTGCAGCGGCCGCGGCCGCCCACACTCAGTGGTATCAAGAAGCTGCTAGTCCCGATTCTGCACCCATTTATCAGGAAACCCAGTCACCTAGCTGTCAACTTTACAGGTACACTTTCCCTTCCCTTTCCACTACCCTTTTTTTACACACTTGGACTTTAAAACCCGGTAATTTTAATCGGTTTTTAATCACGAAAATATTGGTGTTTGTATTTTTTCAGATCTAGCCCATCGACCCCACTTTCTACGGGTGCAGCTCCCTCTCCACCACTTTACCATAGATACTTCCAAGACTGCAATGTCGTAAATAGCAGTGGCAATTTACCGATAACGTTACAGAAATACTGAGAATACCGAAATTCAAGGCCCCACCAGCGAGGCCTTGAAGAACAACATCAAAATGAGTATGATCCTGGCCTGGTTTACGTCAAGCAAGAGTGGATACCAATGACGGAGGAACTCGGCAAAGATTGGAACTAAAAAAGGGGAGATTTAAGAAATGTTCGGTAAAATATCTGTTCGCGTTGTTCTTTACTCTTCTCGAACAGGTGGTTGTTCGCAGAAGAAATTGTCGTATAAACCGTATCAACTTCATTATTTTCAATCGTTCGAGATCATTTTCAATAAGTACCTTGAATTCTGTTCTACGATTGTTATTCTAATAATTTTTGTATTTCTTTTTTTCTACTAAAATGTTTGTAAAAAAAAAAAAAAAAGAGAAAAAGAGAAATTGATTGGATTGGCAATTGGAGAAGCAAAACGGCGTTTGTAAATTTGGAAGTCACCTGAGCAAACATTCGTCACTCGGCGGGTAGGCACGCTGTCTGTCGCTGACCTAGGACAATTGTTTCATCGAAAAGGCGTCTCTTGTTTTTTTTTTCATAAGCAAGTTCAATGCAAAGGTTTCGAAGCAACTGTGCAAACGTTTGTTGCAAAAATTCCCGACCGACGGTGGAAAAATATTGGTGTGGCTCTGTTTGCCGTGTGTCTGTTGCTTACTTCCGACATAAGGCTTTTTATTATGATTAAAAAATAATAAAAAGCTTTGTTGTCGTTGCATCAAATCTCATTAATTTGCGGAAATATTCCATTTGATTGATCGTCTTGAAACTTTCAATCGAAACTTTATCAATATCAATCTACTGATAAGATACTATAATAGAATATCGATACTCGATAAATCTTATTTCATAATAATAAGATTTATTTGAATTGGTACTCGATAACTATTCCAGTGTTTGTCAGTATTGCATATTGTTAGAAATATCATTGATATTTATTTCATCGTTCGATCTGTAAAGGCAACATTTTTTAACGTTTTAAACGATAATCTTTTCCATTGAAACAATAGACCGTTTTATCGACGTGTAATTATCATGATCTCGTATTTATTTCTATTCAATGTATTATATACTTACACATATGCATGTACATATAATATAAACGTATAAATATATATATCATTGAAAAAAATAATGTTGAATGAGTAAGAAGTATCGATGAATCGTTTAAAACATTAAATTAATACGTTCGATCGTTTGTTGTATGTATAGTTGGCGATTTGTCCTTGCTTCCAAAATTTATTTTAAGCTACATAAAGGCCATCGGGTAAGAAAACAATAGAAGTATTTGAACATGAATTTTATTATAATGATCGGTTTGATTGCTGCACAAATAATTGTGATTTTTATTATTATCTGCGTCCCACTTTGTTTTTCTTATTTAAGCACCAATCTAATACCATTTAAAATACTCCTGTAAATATATCATTGAGAAAGGGGTAGGAAGAGAGAAAGTAAAAGAATAAATTTATTGTAAAAATTGAAAATTAAGCTTTGATATACTTTTTGTTTTTTTATTTAAAAGAAAGGTTGCATTACATTGTCTGAATATAAATATAAATATATATATATATATGCATATATCTATAAAAAGAAAGAAAATTAGGAGAATGAAAAAAAAAACATGTAAAAAGTTGCAAAATTGTCTAAAATAGCGTCTATAAATATAATGATGATAATAATAATAATAATAGTAATAGTAGGGTATTATTGGAAAAATGTAACGTGCATTTATTGGTAACTCTGTTCTCTGCGTATCAGAGCAGCGCCCAAGAGAACTGAGATAATATATTTATTCAAATAAAAAATAAATTATGTGAATAAAATGAAAAGGAAAATATTACTATTAGATTGGCGATAATATTGTCGATAAATAAACATCTATGTAGGTGTGTATTATAAAGAGAGATATTAATAAGATAATAAAAAAATAGTTGTAGTTATTGTATAGAAAATATTGACATATATAGCGAGTCAAAGGAATATTCGTTTTCGATATACACTGTAAATTCCAAATAATTCATATTTGCACGCGCGTAATGTAAAACTTGGATAGTACAGTTGAATCATTCTAAATAATGTTTCTCTTTATAATAATTTAGAAATATTCATTGTTTTCACTCTGTACTATAAATACACAATTATTACTATTGTCATTGTGACTCTTTACTGTCGTTAATATTGTCATTATTATCACTGCTGCGTTATTGTAATAAGATATAGATTAAGATTATTACCAATAAGTATGATTATTGCTATGATTAAAGTAGTAGGGTGCTTCGTGCAAATGCGATAATTCACAAAATAAATGCCCAAATCACATATAAAGCATATATTTTCAACACATCCAAATGTATAAATAGAAACAAACACACCTACACACACACAAGCAAATAATATTATAATGTTTTTGTTGTTGTTGTTTTTGAAAACGCGACGAATCTTCAAAATGAACCAACAACCAACCAACCAACCAACCACCACTCCCCGCTTTCTTTCTTTCTTTCGTTCTTTCCTTTTTATTAATTCGAATGTAAAACGCATTTGTTAAAGGGGAAGTTAACTTACGAAAAGTGTATTTTGAAAAGCAATATTTTCATACAATTCGCGTAGCGATATTTTCTTGCAAAAATACTTGGCCGAGCAAGGTGTGTATGCCGTTGAATCTACGTAAACGGCTGAGAAAACAATATAATTCTCGATCGTTTAATGGCGTCATTAGAACATACCAACGTTTATTTTTTACGTTACAATGAAAATCGATCGAAAATTATTTTCTTTTCTTCTTCCTTTTTCTTCGGTAAAAAATACAAATAATAATAATAATAATAATATATAAGACGACATTCGTATCATCTAAATGGAGTGTTGGAGCACGATACAACACGAACACATGTTTCTTTTTTTTTTTTTTTTTTTGTCTTTTTCATCGATTATCCAAATTTGTGATATTCTGCATTTCGTATCTATAGTTTTCGCACTTATTGGTGACCTATTTGATAGATGAAGCAGATGCCGCCAAGAATTGTTAGAAATGCTGCAAAATGTAAAATGCTTCATCTTGACTGCAAGTATTTTCGTGAAAGGTAAGTGTGTATGCGAGATTATATACACGTATCCTAACTAACTGGTGCTGTATCACGTCACTTTTCTCTGCGAAGGTATATTTATTGATTCACTCGCCGTGATATAAGCGTAATCGTAAATACGTTAGCGCGTTATGACATCGAGAGTGTTGCATCTCATATCTCTTTCGAGTTTATTCCTAAACTTTCTCGCAATTTATCCTACATTTAGTTTAACACAAGACTATGAAGAGTTATCTATCTCTAATCGAAGTTTATTGATATGACTAAATTAGAATAAACTTCCATCCAAAGTATTTCCATCCAATGGTCAGTTTTGTGCTTCTTCCCACCCTCACCCTCACACTCCATTCTTACGTATGTAGGATTTATTTAAAATAGCAAATTGATAAGAAAATCTGTAGATACTTGTGAGATGAATAAAGTATTTCATTCGTTCGTTCGTTCGTTTGTTCGTTCGTTCGTTCGTTCGTTCGTTCGTTCGTTCGTTCGTTCGTTCACGGTTCGAAGGATTGCGCAGGGCCTGGACAATTGCTAGCTGTGCTTTTTGCTTGAGGCGGGATTTAAACGCATCTGCCGAAACACGTGTTTCGGATAATACAGGATTTAAAATGTACCAGGCTTCTTTACTAACTTACAAAGATACAAACTTCTCTATGAATAGGTAGATCAAAAGAAAAACCCTTTTTTTCAAGTCCCGTGGTCAACCTTTTCAACTCTTTTCTTTTTTTTCTTTCAATTTTCTTACTCCTATATATTATTAGAGAAAAATGTATTTTTAAATTAGATACGTTTATTTGCTTAGGTTTCAATTTGTTGATTGTTCGCTTGGTAAATTTCGAATGTGGTAGTTTTTTTTTTTTTTTTTTGTACATATAACTAATATTTTAGTATTTTGACCTATAAGCATACTCTCAAGTACGCAAATATAAATAACTCGCGATTTCTAATTATAACACAGCAGTATATTTGTTATAGACATATTATTTATAATACACAGTAGTCCTTCGGTTATTCGACAGAGGTTAAGAAAAAAAGAAAAAACTAAACTCAACTAAACTATCATCTATCGTAGATTTCAATATTTCAATTATATGATACTATGAAAGTGTAAAAATTACCTTGCCGATATTATTTTCCCTCACGGTTGAACCAGCAGACATGAATTGTCGGCGTGTTGTGTTGTTCTCCCTTCGAAACCCCATAATCGTCCGTGGTCGTATTAGCGGTACTGTACAATCATTAATTCCAACCGAGTGAGAAGGAGAAAAGAAAAAAAAAAAAAAAAAGGAGCTTACTTAAACAAATATTTCTTTCCGCGAGATTAACGTACGCGTGTCTACGATGACGACATAGAGACCAAGAAGAAGAAGACGAAGAAGAAGAAGAAGAAAAAGGAAACGAGCCTTTCGAAAAATGATCAAAAGAACTGAGATGAAAATAAATGAGAAATAATCAAGTTGTAACTGAAATTATATTTCGGTTCCGGCATTTCTATTGATAGATGAGATGATTACGCTGCTATTATTGAAATAACTAAATATCAATTAATTATTATTGGTTACTACTGAGTAAAAAAGCTTTAATAAATATAGGTCGAAAGGTCACAACTATATCGTCAGATGTAGAACATTTTTGTTTATTAGTATCATGATTTCCTTACTTGAATCCATCCCATGAAATGATGTTAACTTTAGGGTTTATAAACAGCGTTCACACAATGTTCTTGTTAGATTTCATTTAAGAATTGTGTTTTTTTTGTTTTTTTTTTTTTTTTGTTGGATTGAAGCAAAGAAAGTAATGAGAATTATTAAAGGTAGGAAAGAAGGAAAGCTTGTAAAGTAATGGCGGACTTGGAAACTTACAATTAGGTTGGAGACAAAATGGTGGGAAAAGCTTGACGGGGAAACGGAAGTGAATGCGGGACGGGACGGTGAAGAGAAAACGAGCAAAACGAACAAAACGAGCAAAACGAGCAAAATGAAAGAAAAGAATTGGAGGGGTGGGCGGAAGGGAACTGAAAGAGCTGCTTCATCGTCGTCTATTCGTTCAGGGGAGGAAGAGTGCAAACAGGTGCACTGTTTCCCAGGCACCCGCGGCAAAACTGGGATCACGTTGGTGCTCAAAGAGAGACAGAGAGAGATAATACTGCCACGCGCGTCTATTCCATGGTTTAACGAGAGAAACACCAAAATATTGTAATAAAACAATATGGATATATCTACTATTGATTTA